TGGAGGGCAACTTCTTCGCCCACTTCCCCCGAGCCCTCCTGGGCCTGCCTGACCTCCGCAGCCTCCAGCTGGGTGACAACCGCCTGGCCCGCCTGCCCGCCGGGCTGCCCCGCATGGCCGGCCTGCGAGGGCTCTGGCTCTACGGGAACCGCTTCGAGGACTTCCCCCCGGCTCTGCTGCGCATGGACCACCTCCGCGTCCTCGACCTGGACCGCAACCGCATCGCTTGCTTCCCCGACCTGGCCTGCCTCTCCGCCCTGCGCCTCCTCTCCTACGACCACAACCCCGTCCGGCAGCCACCCTGCGTGGGCGATGCTGTCTGGCTGGTGGGTGACGGGGCGCAGGATTTCATGGAGGCACGGCAGGGGGCGCGCGCGAGGCCTCCAGCACCGGGGGAAAAAAAAAGGAGGAAGGCACCAAGGCCCCACCAGCAGCCCCCAGGGACGACTCCCCCCTGCTGGAAAACGGGGAGGGTGGCTTTGCAGCCCTGCATGGCTCCCCAGGGGAAACATGAACCGCCACGATGTAGCTGGATGGGACACCCAAAGGGACACACTGCAGAGGGACAGGGAGCTGCCACCAGGCTCCCAAGGACCATTGTCACCCAGCTAGGGCTGGGAAAGAAAGAAGTTCGTGGCCTCCACACGAAGGAAAACAGATGGTCTGAGGACCAGCATCTCCCAGCAAAGAGCTGCTGCCTGGATCCACAGGGCACAAGGGTCACTGTCAGGATCCACAAGCCCTACCGTAGAGCATCCCACATGACCGCAGGGTGCCTTGGATGGGGAAACAGCCCTCTGCCCTGATGGGTGACCCCACAGACCCCAGTTGCCTGCTGGATAGGCCCCAGCAGGCAGCATGGTGCTGCCGAGAGCCAGGCATTCCCACGATGCCTGCCCACGAGCACCAGGACCTTCCTACCGCAGGCTGCAGCTGCCCTGCTGCCTCTGTGGGTGCCCTTTGCTCCTGGCTTCGTCGGGCAGGACAGGAAAAAGCGAAACCGTTTGCATCCATCCCACACGGACCTCATCACCTCGAAGAGCAGCAAGGTTTGAGAACAACAGCATAGACCCCTTCTCACCCTTGAGACCTCCCGCAGTCCTGCCGCTGGAATTGGGCTGGGGGAGAGGTCAGTCTCTGCTGCGCTTCTCCCAGCAGTCAGGTTTGGGAACGAGCCGATGGAACCCCACCCGGGCACAAGCACTGCCTGTCTCACAGGAAAAGTAGCCCCAGCTCTGGCTCTGTCTGTCCTGCAACAGGCACCAAAGCCAAGGCTGTCGCTCTGTCCTTCCTCTCTCCCTCCCCGTGCACTGTTTTTACCAAACCCAAGCAATAAAAAGCACAAACCCAAGAAAAAACAGTGTGAGAGAAAGGTGATGGGATTGGTTCTCTGGGGGGCTGTGGCAGGGAAGGGAATCATGGAGACACATCCTGGTGCAAGACCACCAACTCCTCTTACTTTTAACATTCGAGAGAGTCCTATCTTCCTCTGCCTGTCTCCAAGCAGTGCTCCGGCTCTCCGCCGAGCTGTCCCGGTGCGGCAAGGGAGCTCAGCCACACCGGCACCAAATGCTCCCTCCGAGGGCTGGGACTTGCTGCAGGTTTCAGACCGCGCATCCGCTTTTAATTGCAAGGGGTTTGGTGGCTGGGAGGCAGCCAGCGCTCCTGCCACATCCTCTCCTGTGCTCTCCGGGACACTGCCTGGCTTTTTTTTCCCCTGCCTCCTCCCCACTCAGCAGCAGGAACCACAGCTATTTTAGATATGGTGGAGCATCCTCATCTGCGGGATGCACCCGTCAGTGCCAGCCCCCCCCAGCAGTGGAGGCTGAGCTGCTGAAGCCCCCTGCATTTCCAGCAGCAATGAAGCCCCAGTTTCCATTCCCACTTGTGGATGGTGGATTTAGGGCCTGGCAGGAGCTTGGCTCACTCTTCCCCCTCAGGTTCAGGTCTACCCATGGGGAATTGGGACCAATGGAGCTTGTGGCGGGCACAGGGCACCCCCAGCCTCACCCATGGCACTCTAGGGTGCTAAGCACAGCAGTGGGTGGCTCCCAGCCCATAGGGGTACACTGGGGTCATGCCACCAATCTGGGGTGCTGCTGCTAATTAGCAGGTAATTATCCTGAGCGCTGGACCTGGCAGGGACCCACATGACTGAGCCCCAGCTATAAGCGAGACACCCTTTTCTGCCTGGCACAACTCATCTGCGGCTATTGGCTCCATGCAGACAGACCCCTG